GCCTGTAACTCATCTTCTCCCTGCCTACAAGGCTGAGCTCCAACGAGGCAGTGGGGCTGGACCCTGACATGTCTTGGCCACAGCACCATGACACCAAAGCTCATGCTCTTTGTAAGGGGGACAGAGATGCTCGTCCTCATGGTCAAACTAAGGTGGCAAAGGCAACGGGGAAGGTCCGATCTCAGCTGGAAGAGCTGCTGGATCTAACTGCAACACAGCAAAGAGCTTTTACAAATTTACTATTTAAAATAATGAATCCCCCAGTGCTTTTCCAGCGCGTTTTCCTACAAAATCATGCTTGCATCTCTTGCCAACACTCTCAGAAAACCCATACGAGACAGTTTGAATTACCAAGGGTTTGATTGTTTTTCTGTTGGTTTTTTTCTTCTCTCTTTTACTTCTCTCTCTTTCTTTCTTTTTTCTTTCCCCTTTTCATCTTGTCATGGAAAAAAAAAAAAAAACCAAAAAAACGGAGAGAGGGAAAACAGAGAAAAGAGCTGTAAATAAAGCAAAACATTTTCCAGGTGTTGGGGGTTTTTAATTTAGCTTTCCCTGAAATTGAAATGTTTCACAAACAAATCACATTTCTGAAAGACAAATGGGTTTCAACACAAACAGACTGAGGAATGTCTAAACCAGCACATTTTCTATACATTCACCTGCTCACTGGAGTGGATTTCTCTGTATTATTTTTGCAGTGCTGTGTTATTTTGTTGTGCTCTGCCCCAGCTGCATTTTGTTGGTGGACAAATGAAGTCAACGGAGAAAACTGATACAGACTGAAATGTTCCAGCACAGACGTGTTAGGAGAAGGATATTTTTTTTAATGATTGTGCTTATAAAAATATCTGACTTCTCTATATTTCCATATTTCTATATGTCCACATTTACAGGCAAATGGATTCTGGGACTTCACATCAACACCTCAAACCACTCCAAGGAGGTAGCAGTGGGTAAGCTCATGGTGGATTAAGCCAATGTCTCACATTCTGCCCTACTCCAAACTGTGGCAAATTCAGTTCCAGATGGCCCAGCTCCTTGGCAACCTCCTGCCAGGACCAGGCTGGCCCTCTCCTACCCTTGCCAGGTTGCAAGCAGCTGCTATGGAGTGATTCACTTCAGGTTAATGTCTCCACCATGGCATCTCTGTTGGTAGTCACTCACCCAAGCTCTGGGTCTAACACGCTCCAGAGGTGCCAGGGCAGCTGCACGGTGCTGGTGGCTGGAAGGGAAGGTGGAAACAGACAGATGGGATGTGCTGACCCTTCCATCTGCTGCCATGTACATCACAGGGGGTTTTCCATTTATTACAAACCTCTCATCACTTCAAACAAGGCCCTGCTTGTTGGGCCATGCAATGAGGAGGCCCATGGAGGTCTCAGATCACCTGGCAGGGGAAGAAGTCCCATAACAGGCAGTATTTAGGATGCCAGCAGCTAACCAGGATGCTCTGACCCTACGGCTACAGTTTCCCTCCCACTCACCTGAAATGGCTGGTGCTTTGGTCATGGGTTGAGCCAACATCCTTCTCTCTTGGGGTCCTCATTGCATCTCACAAGCCTGGAGCATAGCCCTGGCTTGTGGGGAACCCACCGTGAGAGTCAGGTAGGTGAGAAACACTGTGTAAGCAGGGACCTTGCTTGCTGAGGGCTGTTTGGGTCAGTGTCCTTACAGCCTGGACAACCTGGAGAAGGCTGACAACTCTGGTGAGCAGAGGATGCTGTGGGTCAGATCTGGAGATCTGTCAGGTAAAGCTGGTAAGTTTGGGTCACAAGAAGTAATTCAAGGTCAACAGATGGACCGAGCAGGGTCAGCTTCAGCCCCAAATCAGCATTGGAGACAAGCTGAGGATGAGCATGCACACATGGAAGAAAAGGGACCTCCTCTGCCCTGTCCACCTCTGCCCTCCTGGCACATACATTGCCCCTCTTCTAGCCTAGGTGCCATTTCTCAGCTGGTTTGTTCCAACCTGACCCACAACACCAGTCACAGGGCTGCCCTTAATTAAAAAGAAAAAATGCCAAATGAACTGGAGTTGTCAGAAGACAGGATCCAAGTCACGAGAAGCAACTTTCTTTAGAAACAAGATCATTCCAAAAACAGGAGGGACGTGGACACCAGCTCATTGCATCAGGACATGGGGGAGAGAGATACTGTTCTCTACAGGACTGAAATGTTCAGCCTGGAGAAGAGAAGGCTCCGGGGAAACCTTCTAGTGGCCTCCCAGTACCTGAAGGGGCTCCAGGAAGGCTGGGGAGGGACTTTGGCCAAGGGCAGGGAGTGAGAGAACAAGGGATGATGGCTTGAAAGTGGCAGAGGGGAGATGGAGATGAGATGTGAGGAAGAAATTCTTTGGTGTGAGGGTGGTGAGCCAGTGTCCCAGGTTGGCCAGAGAAGCTGTGGCTGCTCCTCCCTGGAAGTGTTCTCAGCCAGGTTGGATGAGGCTTTGAGCAACCTGGTCTAGTGGAAGGTGTCCCTGCTGCTGGCAGGGGGGTTGGGACTGGATGAGCTTTAAGGTCTCTTCCCACCCAAACCAGTCTGGGATTCTGTGATACACTTTGGGGACACAGGAGCCAGCTAAAATGAACTCAGTGCCTCAAAGAAGCAGGAGAGAGCATCAAGCTCTGCATGTCCTCCTGGTAGAGAAGCCACAAGTGCCAAAAATGTGTAATTGCAAAGGAAAAAAAAAGAAGGAAAAAAAAAAAAGGCAATTTAGGAGTTTAAAGCTGTAGACCTGGCCCTGGCTGTTGCCAGCCTCCCTGCTGCAGAATAAACCCAGTCCCAGCTGGCAGCAGTCAGCCTCACCAGGTTAAAACAAGATGAGAGTGTGCAGTCACGCAGGTCAGCGCCGGCCAGCACTGTCCCCTCTTTGACTCGCACAATCCATGGGAACTAGAGCAGTTAAATGCACAGCTCCCCTTCACTTCAGGGAAGACTGAAGCATCTGCACCATTTCCCAGCAGTGAGCTTTGGTAACACCATCAGGAGCAGCATCCCAAACACTGAAGAGCCACGATCCTCTGCTAAGGACAGGCAGAGCAGCCAGGACCTGCCAACAGTCACGAGACAGGTACCAGTTACAGGGAATCCCTTTACCTTCCTTAACCCCCCGGGCCTCGAGGGGTTAATGTCTCTTTTTATGCTCCAGGAGCAGGTTTAATCATGTCTGTCTTAGCAGCTACGCTCAGATCAACATTTTAGCCTTCAATGGTTCCAAACCAACCCGTCTCAGATCTTGCACGTTATTAATATTGCAACAAACAGACTGCCATGAATTCAGCCCTGCTCTGGACGTTGCTATCGCTTGCTGCACGTCTGTTTAACAGCCACTTCAGCCTCCTCTGGCAGAACTTTCCCCTTGTGTGTTCCTCCCACGTGTCTCCTATTAAAACCAATGTCAAAAAGTTCAAGCAAGCCTGAGAGGGGAGGGAGAGGAGAGCTGAGATCCCAGCTACAAATGGGACCTTTTTAAAGCTCTTACATTGTGTTGGCATCTAAATAGCACTTTCCCAGCCCTAGAAGGTCTCCATTAAGCTACAACCAAGACCAGAACCAGCAAGTTTCAGCTCAGAGGGAAAGTAAAAAACATCAGGAAAGAAAAAATACACGTGTGGTCTCATTTTAGCTGGTCATGGAAGTGCAGAGACAGCTCCTTGCTGCCAGCTTCTGTTGCCCATTCACAGGGAAGAGCTGTGCAGTTATGGACACGCTCATCCTCTCCTTGCTTCCTCAGTGTTCAAGGCCAGGCTGGATGAGGCTTTGAGCAACCTGGTCTAGTGGAAGGTGTCCCTGCTGCTGGCAGGGGGGTTGGAAATGCACTTTAAGGTCCTTTCCGAACCATTCTGTGGTTCCATGATTCTATGAAAGCCAAAGGAGCCTTACTGTGAAACGCTGGGTTCAGCTGCCTTCTCGGCCCAACGCCTGCAAACACAAACCCACCACCAGCCTGTCGGAGAGACCGAGTCTGTCAATCAGTATCTGAAAGAGTGATTTTTGTAGAGAAAACCTGACATTTTACATCCTCCCTCTCATTCCTCTGTATGTTAATAAAACATGTGGGTGTTTGAAAGGGAAATCTCTGGGTGTTTCTTATTAAGCAGCGGGGGGGACTGCAAAGTCTGCTAAATACTTAATTGGGTGTCAGCAGGTTCCTTTGGTAAGTGCAGACCTGCACTGAAGAGCCAAGCTGTGTCCCCCCTGTGCAGAGCAAACCAGAAAAGGGTCACAATCCTATGCCCACCCGGCACGGAGCAGAAAACCCCTGCAATTTCATGCCACGTTACACTCAACAAAAGGCTTTCACTCGACTAGCCGCCAGCAGATCCAAACAGGGCTGGGATTTCAGGGCTGTATCCTTTCAACCTGCTCCTGAGGAGTGCTGTGGGCTCACCTTTGTCTTCAAAGCATTAAAAAAGGCAAGTGGTTTATTTTTTGTCACTCCTCTCACCCCCCAAAATGAGCAGAGTATCATTTTATAGTGGTCTGTTTCAAAAATAAGGTTGGCCATTCTCTGTTGAAGTCAACTGCACTGGGGCCAGTAACAGACAAATTTAAATTGGGAGAGGGTGCTGCATCTCTAAAAGCTTGATTTTACAGAGCAAAGCTTGATTTACAGAGCAAAGCCTGATGTTAAAGAGCAAAGCTTGATTTTACAGAGCACTGAACCCCTCTGGACTCTGGGGCAGACTCACTCTGCGCACCAGACCACCTGCAAACTCTGTGATCTGAAAAACCTGGGCAGGAAACAGCAACGACACATGGAAGGGGAAGAAATAAGATGGAAGAGTGAAAGAGCTGCCATCATACCCATGCTGAGCTGAAAGCTGAACACAGTGTCACCTCCACGGCATCAAACCTCATAAACTTTATTATTAGAGAAAATACAAGTTTGCCTCAAAGCAAAGCATAAAAAAAACCCCACAACTGAACAAAAACTCTTGACACAGGGAATTCAACACACAGCCAGTACACACATCCATGGGGACTGCCATCCCCAAATGCTACTGCATCTCTTCCTCCCTCTGGGCCCTGTATTCCTTCATGCTCCTCTGCAAACAAGAGCAAAAGACAAATGTTAACAGCATGTATCCGAGTGATTCACATACCACAGTGCCACTGCCTTGGTCTGCGCTGTGACTTCTCTGTCCTGCAAAGGCTGAGGGACCTGAGAAGCTCTGACAAAGCTCCAGGGACTTTCAGAGTGACTGAGCTCTACAGTCACACCGAGGGAAAAGAAGCCAGGCTGTGCCACAGGTCAGGCAGAGGATGTGTGAAAAAACGACCAGGTTTTTCATGTCAGAAGCAGCTACAACACAGGTCTCAGCCCATTCCTCTCCCCTCTGAAACCAAGAGACAGAAAAGACCCCTGAGCTCTTCAGGAACAGTCTCACCTCAAAGGTATTGAGCACGTGTTGGCAAACACCCATCAGGTCGTTCAGCCCTTTCCGGAACGGCTCAACAGCAGGCAGGGTCCCTTCAGGAAAGAAGAGGCATTAGTGACATGTGAGGTGGCTTCCAAAGGGACTGGCAGCCCTCTCCCTCACTGCTGTGAGGCCACGTGGCTGTGACCACCATGCCCAAGGACAGTCCCTGTGATGGGCAGGAGCTCTTACACCAGGGATGTGACCATACACTTCCCTCCTACCATCCCACTAGCAGCAGCCTGAGAGCTGAGCTCACTCCAGTGGTCCAGCAGGAACACCAGACCCCTGCCCTGCAGTGAGTCCCATGGGGGGGGAAGGGGTTCCCCTGACAAGGTGAACAGCCTGAGCACTCATTATTTTTAGGAAATTAAATGAGTCAACAAGCACAAATTAGATATTTGCTTCCAGGAACTGGCTTGATAGAACAAGAGGAAATGGCCTCAAGTTGCCCCAGGGGAGGTTGAGGTTGGGTCTGAGGAAAAACTTCTTCACCAAAAGGGC